GAGTGAGAAAGAGAGAGAGAGAGAGAGAGAGAGAGAGAGAGAGAGAGAGAGAGAGAGAGAGAGAGAGAGAGAGAAAGAGAGAGAGAGAGAGAGAAATTAGATCAGATGTAATGAAGGAAGCAGCGGCAGGAATACCAAAGAGCAAATGAAGGACATAAAAAATGTAATTAATTAAGAAGGGAATGTACATGAGTGGGTGGGATGCAGAAGGACGGTCAGGAGAAGAGCCAGAAGGGATTCGCAAAAGATGATTTAATACACAGGTTTAAGAAATAATGAAGAGAAAACAGAAAGAGAAACCATTGGAATATAGAATGACATGAGAGGAGTGGGACAAAACAGGAAACCAAAGAAGAGAAGAAGTAAAATGAAGATTTTTACAATTCCTGTTCAGAGTTTTAGACCCAGTGACAATGTGGTTAAAAAAACATGGAAGTTACTGAGGGTCTATAGTTTTGATTAATAACATAAAAAGTAAAACAGAGTAACCATTTCTGCTTTTTGTGAGGGTTATATTCACAAAAAAAATAAAAATTAAATAAAATAATAAAAACATGCTGGTGTAGCCTATTGCTTATTTTATCTTTTTACCAAAGTCCCTGCAGCACACTGTCACATGGAAGATGTGGTGCAAAAAGTGTAAAATCATGTAAATGTGCAACTTTTGACTTTTCTGCTAAAACCCTTGTTTTACAAACTGTGTCAAGAAGTTATTGTAACACCAAAGAAACCACTACTGCAGAGGGAGTTCAGCAACACTAGCATGTGCTTTCATGTTTCTTTTTTCTTTTAGTTTTAAATCTGGGGGTTAAAAAAGAGAAAGGATCTGAAGAATAAAATGATGATTTATCTTTTTCGAAACTAACCTTTAGTGCCTGCTTTATACCTTACACAGCGGCTCCTATGAAAAGAATGCTGACCTCAAATAATCTCCAAACCGAGGATCCAGTCTTATAGGATGATTTAAATTGTTATTAACTGATTTAAATGTTTCTCAGCAAAGGCAATGTGGCAGTCATTATCAGTTTTGCAAGCAAATCTTATAAAAGCACCAACTTGATTGTGTTTACAAGAGCATCAGCGGAGAAGATTACTTCTAACAACAAGAAAATATGTTGAAACTATAAATACATACACTGTGTTAAATGGCACATCAGAATGAGTGTAAAACTGATTTAGGCTCTGTAGAAACAGAATGAGTGTAATTGTCTTGTAGCACCAAAAACGTGTTTATTTCTTTAAATGATTATTCTCTTTGCTGGTTGTAAGTATGTGTATGTTCAGTTAATAATGTTGTAAAGCTGGCTGAATCATACTAACTTGTTTTTACCATTTACACTATAACAGTAAGTGGATTTTTACAGTTTAAGTTTAAGTTAGATGTACTGATATCTTCTAAAACGATGTTATTCTGTTATAACTCAACAGTTAACTTGTTCTGAAAGTACCAGTTCACATCTTTAGAAGTCAGGTTCTGTGGACAATTTACAGCAAACTCACATCTTACCTATTACCTTTAAAGTATTCAAACTATCTTTTTTTCAGGCTGACTTACATCTGATTAAGTCCACCCACCTGATATGTGGAGACAGGAGACGCAGCTATGAAGGGTGTGATTGATGTCTGAGCAATCATTCGGTTGGTGGAGATGCTGTACGGTGACGAGTAGAACCTGTGGAGCGTTCAGAAACATGAAAACTGTGATTATTAGCATCAGCAAACAAACTCAGGGAAGTGACTAAACCAGGAGGGAAGTAAAAATCCTCTTGAACTAAAATACAATTTCAATCCAAAAACATGTATAACAGGCAGCTCTCAGGCCCAGGCCACCTTGCAAAAGAGATCTGCTATCTCAATGGGGTTTGCCTGGTGTGTGTGTGTGTGTGTGTGTGTGTGTGTGTGTGTGTGTG